TTAATTGGAGGCTAATTACTTTACAATATTGTGGTGGTTTTTGCCATACATTGACATGAATCGGCCACGGGTGTACATGTGTTCCCCATCCTGACCCTCCCTCCCACCTCCCTCCCCATCCCTTAGGGTCATCCCAGTGCACCAACCCTGAGCACCCTGCCTTATGCATTGAACCTGGACTGGCGATCTATTTCACATATGGTAATATACATGTTTCAATGCTATTCTCTCAAATCATCCCACCCTCACCTTCTCCCATAGAGTCCAAAAGTCTGTTCTTTACATCTGTGTCTCTTTTGCTGTCTCACATATAGGGTCATTGTTACCATCTTTCTAAATTCCATATATATGTGTTAATATACTGTATTGGTGTTTTTCTTTCTAACTTATTTCACTCTGTATAATAGGCTCCAGTTTCATCCACATCATTAGAATTGATTCAAATGCATTCTTTTTAGTAGCTGAGTAATATTCCATTGTGTATCTGTACCACAGCTTTCTTATCCCTTCGATGGACATCTAGGTTGCTTCCATGTCTGAGCTATTGTAAACAGTGCTGCGATGAACATTGGGGTACAGGTGTCTCTTTCAATTCTGGTTACCTCAGTGTGTATGCCTAGCAGTGGGATTGCTGGGTCGTATGGCAGTTCTATTTCCAGTTTTTTAAGGAATCTTTACACAGTTCTCCATAGTGGCTGAACTAGTTTGCATTCCCACCAACAATGTAACAGAGTTCCCTTTTCTGTGCACTCTCTCAGAAGTAAACTATCTTTAAGTCACTACTATTTGGAGTCATTCTGATTCAGTCAACTTCAATATTCAAAACTAAAAATGGACTCCAGGAAAATAAAAATAAGAATCAAAAAAAATAAGGACATCAAAGGAGGCTCCATGAAGAATGACTTATCAGCAAAATGTTACCTTTAAATTATTAAAAGTTAGAAGATAAAGATGTCTTTTGGTCAACAAAATGGTATTTCCCAGTTAATGAAATGTACATTACAGGAAATGCAATGACTTGTCTATATACAAAGAAATATTAACTAGAGAGTCCAGGAAAACCATAACACTGTAGAAACAGTTATGGTACGATTATAAAGCAACTTAACATATGACATAGCTTTGAGAAATTAGTAGAGTGAAAGAAAGAGAAAGCATTGAACTTGATGGTCTGAACATTCTCCATCAAGTAGTTTAAAGAAAAAGATCTGTATTTTCTTAATTGAAAGTCTATCACCATGCTTAACTGGGCTTCCCTAGCAGCTCAGCAGTAAAGAATCCACTCGCAGTGTAGGAGACCCAGGTTCTGTCCCTGAATCAGGAAGTCCCCTGCAAGAGGGTATGGCAACCCATTCCAGTATTCTTGCGTGAAGAATCCCATGGACAAAGGAGCCTGAGGCTACAATCCAGAGAGTCAAAAGAGTCAGACACGATTGAAGTACGAGCATGCACTCATAATTATGTCATTTATAATATTTACAATAACCATGATACTGATTTGTAAATATATTTGAGTGGTATCATAACCAATCTTTTAAGCATGCTGGTAGCTATATATGAATGCTACATATGAATTTTCTTCATTTATAAGGTGTTGAGTTTTAGGGAGTTTTCTAAAATCTCTTCTATACATCAGGTTTCTCATTTATAAAATGGAGTTTTAAGAATAGAACCCCATTTATAAAGTAGGGTTCTAAAATTAGGACTGTTCTCCCAGGGTTGGTTTGATCACAAATTGAGATCATTTATCTCCTATACTTAGTACTTAGCACAGTGCCTAACACAAAATAAACCATAATTGTCAGCTCTAAGTAGTGTTCAATACTATTCAATATATAGAATTGATCTTTAGATAAAGCAATGTATTAATAGACTGTTATAGTACCAATGTTAGAGGCTTTAATGATGTTAGAGCAAAAATAAATCAGAGAGTAAAAGAAGTACAGCAATGCTACTTTCCTTACATTTGAGAATAAGGAACCGATGAACATGATCAATATGCAGATAACACCAACCTTATGGCAGAAAGTGAAAAGATCTAAAGAGCCTCTTGATGAAAGTGAAAGAGGAGAGTGAAAAAGTTGGCTTAAAGCTCAACACTCAGAAAACTAAGATCATGGCATCTGGTCTCATCACTTCATGGCAAATAGATGGTGAAACAGTGGCTGACTTTATTTTTCTGGGCTCCAAAATCACTGCAGATGGTGATTGCAGCCATGAAATTAAAAGACACATACTCCTTGGAAGGAAAGTTATGACCAACCTAGACAGCATATTAAAAAAGCAGAGACATTACTTTGCCAACAAAGGTCCCTCTGGTTAAGGCTATGGTTTTTCCAGTGGTCATGTATGGATGTGAGAGTTGGACTGTGAAGAAAGCTGAGCGCTGAAGAATTGATGCTTTTGAACTGTGGTGTTGGAGAAGACTCTTGAGAGTCCCTTGGACTGCAAGGAGATCCAACCAGTCCATCCTAAAGGAGATCAGTCCTGGGTGTTCAATGGAAGGACTGATGTTGAAGCTGAAACTCCAATACTTTGGCCACCTGATGCGAAGAGCTGACTCATTTGGAAAAAAACCCTGATGCTGGGAAAAATTGATGGCAGGAGGAGAAGGGGACGACAGAGGATAAGATGGTTGGATGTCATCACCGACTCAATGGACATGGGTTTCGGTGGACTCTGGGAGTTGGTGATGGACAGGGAGGCCTGGCATGCTGCTGTTCATGGGGTCGAAAAGAGTTGGACATGACTGAGTGACTGAACTGTATATGGTCAATAAATATATCTAAATTGAATGGATCAAAAAAACCAGTTACATCCTATTTTAAATAATAACGGTTAACAGAGAATAACCATGAATTGCATAAATGAATAAAAATTTGGGAAAGGAAGCTGAAGATAAAAGAAGTCAGTTAATTGGGTATGTGATTCATATCTTTCAGTTTCCTCTTATGACTAATAATAACATGATGTGACTATTGTGCACAATTTTGAACTTATGCATATTAATTTAATGAATTCTTATACTTATAAGAGATATACCATTATTGTTCTATTTTAAAATTACAGAATGTAGGCAAAGAAATTCATGAATTTTTCTGAAGACCCTAGACTGTCTGCAGAGGCTGTATCCCTGTTTATTGCCTGTAAGAACAGACGGCAGGATATGAAATCTCAAATTGCTGTACTGCATTTTAATTGCATTCATTAGAATTAGGCTAGTAATAATCAAATTAAATAAAACCAGATATTTTAAGGAGTGGTGAGTTCTAGAAAATAGGCTGCCACTTGGCAGTTATGAAGGAAGTATGTCACAAGCTACATAATTTATTTTTGTACAGCTAAAGTTTTCTCTTTTATCACGTGAACATATTACTTCTTTCAAAACAAAATAGGAGTTAAACTGCTATATTTTTGTATTGTGGAAGCTGTGAAAGTTTATTTCTTGACACACTGATTTTTATAATTATACTGTATTACCAGTCATATTTTTAACAATTTCTGAGCTTCCTGTTCTACCTTTCATATGCATAACAAATATTTATATGTGACAAATTTTCATTTAATTTTATAATTGTTCATATTAAATTATAATCAAGTTACAATTTTGAAAACATTACAAACTTAGAAATGGTAGTACAGTCTTTGCTTTACAGTAATCCTATTGCTCATATTCTAATGAAAATATATATATTTTTTTAATCAGGGAAGGGTTTATTTTAGTCAAAGACTGATCCTTGTAGGTTGGTCCCTCAAAAAAGAGCTTGGTCTCTCACAAAGCTCCTTGAAAAATGACCAAGGCCAAGATTAATAAAAAACAATTTAATCCCAACCAAGTACTGGTCACATCAGGGGCGAGGTGTTGCGACCCCAACGAGGAAAGGTGAGGTTCCAAACCATGCAACCAGTTCCCTGCCCGAGCCGCACAGGTACAACTGCTATGCTGGAAACCAGGCCCGAGCTCAGAGTCACGTCAACCCCGAGGCCCGGGCTGGCTCTGCTGACCACGTGGCGATGGCCCCACGCATGGTACAACCAGGGAAAGGACTAGAAGACCCTCCTGCTCTCATGTCCCAAGACAGAACACAGAAGCACAGCTCAAGTCCACTCCCCGTCCTGCCCACTCCCGCCTCCTGGACTCCCAGGAATCCGCCAGAGGACGTCGGGGTCCTGACACCACCGCCCAGCCGCCCACAGCCCAGGTGCTCAGCGTGGGGAGGCTGAGCGTCAGCGGCTGGTTGGGCGACTCTGCCCTGAAGCCTGGGAATCACTTTCGAGGGCTGGGCTACACCGCCAGGACCAAGGCGCAGGACACCCGGCTTCAAGCCTCCCTGAGGAGCCGAGAGACCCAAGGCCAGGGACTCACTCCCCGTGCCCGGGGTCCTGCCACCTGGACTGGCTGAGCTGTGACCAAACGTCCACCTATTCAGAGGTGACGAGAGGCTGGCCCTCAGGGACGCCCCTTAACCCACCCCAGGACAGCCAGGGGGTCGGACAGCGCAGGACTCACCTGAGAGGCGACGCTGCCGGGTGGAGGAGGCGACACTCTTGTTTAGAGGTGATACTCCTCGACGGAGGTCACATTCCTGTTTGGAGATGACAGTCCTGGGCGGAGGAGACGCTCCTTTGTGGAGATGACAGTCCTGGGTGGAGTGACGCTCCTGAACACAAAGTCTCGGGGGCACGGTGCCCCCCGCCCCCGCAGTGAGCCGGCCTCGCCTGCCTCAGAATGAGGATGCGGATGAGGAAAGCTTCGCCGGTTCAGTTGAGTTTCTAGAACTCTCCCAAGGGGATCCGGGGCCCTGTGGGGCTTCCCGTTTAAGGAGCCATCGCCCTGAGGGAATGGTCCGGGTACCTCAGGTTGGACTCACTGTGGAAGAGCGACCCTCGGAAACAGGTGCGCGCGGCCCGGAGACCTGCCCGGCGCGCAGTGCGCAGGCGCAGCCTCGAGAGAGGTCGGGGTATGCAGGTGAGCAGGGGCCGATGGGAGACGGCCGTCCATGTTCTGCCTGAAGAACAGATGTGACGAGCTCCACATGGAGCACCCGGACGTAGGGAAAGCCACAGGCGGCTTTGAGAGGATAGTCAACCAGGCGATAGAGGAGGCTCAAAAAGAGAAGGAGCTTGACAAAAGTCAATATCCGAAAGTTCAGAAAGAGAAAGACCCACTACTGCAGGACTGGACTCCAGGGAAAACTCTTTCTCTGACCTCTGCAGGTGGTCTGAGAAATAGAAGGCCGGTGTGGATGCCTCTGGCCCTCCAGTGATCCTCTGCAGGGGACTGAAGGAAACAGGGACTGAGCAGAATCCGTAATGACATCTTTTCCAACTTGGAGAAGCGCTGACGTTTAAGCCTCTGCCCAGTCTTCCATCCTGTCTGTCTGACTCTCTGTTAGGAGGTTTCATGTTCTTGTCTCTTAACCTCAACTGGTTTTTAAACTATAAAGCTTTAAAAAGAAAACTAAATATTCCCCAAATGCAAGGCCACCTAGGAATCTGCACATCCACCCACTATTCTTTTGTCCATGAGGTTTGCAACTAAATGCTGCTCCAGCTGGCCTGGTTGTCGGCATCATCCAGGCGTCTACTCTTGGGAATAATGATATATTTACACACAGGTGGAAAAAAAAATCAGAGGAGAAAACGTGATTTGTAAAGAGAAATGAAAAGTAGGTGTCAATTTGTTTGCAAAGTGGAATCCATCAAGAGTAAAGATCTTTCAGACCTGGGTCCTTAGATTCCTTAATCAGTAGAAATTAGTAGAAGGACAGACAACGAATTCAAGCGGAACTTTATTGGGACTTGCGCTTTAGCAGAAGAGAGGCAGAACAAGAAACAGGTGCTCATGCCCACTCTGTGAGGAAAGCAGGCTGGTACCTTAAATAGGGTGAGGGTAGGGGTGGACTGGTGGGTCAGGAGGGGTGAGTGGCTTACTGTGGTCTGCCCACCCCTTCCAGGGTGCTGTATGTGGGGTTCATGCCCATTACCCTGCTTTTGCTCTTGGCACCTAGAAGCTGCAGTTGGGTTTTGGCCTTTTGTATTTAATTGTTCATAATTTGTCCCAGCTGCACATGCATGCAGTTATTTTTAGCCCCGTAGTTTCTTTGTATTCTGCTGCTTGAGGAGACCTTTGTCCAAGTGCAGGTATGACAATGAAGGGTCCAAGTCCTAGCCCACATTAAACATAGCTCCATCAGCCTGTTTGTCTATGGGGCTTCCCTGGTGGTACAGATGGTAAAGGATCTGCCTGCCATGCAAAAGATCTGGGTTCAATCCTTTGGTCAGGAAGATCCCTTGGAGAAGGAAATGGCCATCCACTCTGGATTCTTGCCTGGAAAATACCATGGACAGAGGAGCCGGGCAGGCTACAGGGGTCGCAAAGAGTCAGACAAGACCTAGCCCACATGAAGGGTACTCCATCAGCCTGGCTATCTATAGATACTGAATATAGCTCAGGATTATAGGAGAACCCAGAATGGATCACTTTGAAACCAGAAAGGGCACAGATATTAAAAGAAGCAAAATGATATAATAATTCATGATTTATAACCTAAATTAGTCACTGATGTAAATTCATGTAAACATTGTATATTGATAGCAAGTGGGCAGTAATGGAACTGCCCAGATAAGGTGGTAGAAAAGAATATCCCTGCCAATGCAGGCAACACAAGTGACAAAGGTTAAATTGCTGAGTCAGGAAGATTCCCTGGAAAAGAAACTGGCAACCCACTCCAGTATTATTCTTTGAAGAATTTCATGGACAGAGGAGCCCAGTCTATGGGGTCACAGACTTGGACATGACTGAACATGTAAGGATACATGACAATAATATAAATTATATTTTAGGTGAAATAGTAGTTTGCTAATATCTCAAGCTGGGAGACCTGTGATTATTTTGAAAGTGAAAGTCTCTCAGTCGTGTCTGACTCTTTGTGACCCCATGGGCTATACAGTCCGTGGAATTCTCCAGGCCAGAATCCTGGAGTGGGCATCCTTTCCTTTCTCCAGGGAATCTTCCCAACCCAGGGATTGAACACAGGTCTCCCACATTGTAGGCAGATTCTTTACGAGCTGAGTCGCAAGGAAAGCCCAAAAGTACTGGAGTAGGTAGCCTATCGCTTCTCCAGTGGATCTTCCCAACCCCGGAATCAAACCAGGGTCTCCTGCATTGCAGATGGATTCTTTACCAACTGAGATATCAGGGGAGCCATGATTATCTTAAACATCTATTTTTCTGAGATTTGCCTTCCTGTGTTTTAGTTTGAATTAAATTTCTTTCTTTAGAAATAGAAGTGTAACATCTGCTAAATTCATCTAAATACTGCTCAGATAGCATTTGCCATCAGTAATGTTAATTTTTAAGAGGAAATAGTTTATCATTCTTCGTTCAAGTTGTTTTTGTTCTGTATATATGACAATATATTGATCAATATCATTACCCTTTCATGGAAATTTTAATAAAGTTTAGATAAATGAGTAGCTTCAAAAACGTTTTAATCCCCCATTTATTCCCTTTAAGACTGTGTATAATTTTGTAACTGGCACTTGACAAGGCAATGAGTCTTCCTTCCAGCCTGCTGTTAAAATATTACTTTTGCATGAAATTCCCATTGAAATGATATGTCAAGAAATATGTTTCTAAATTCCTTTTTTTGTGATGGAAAAATTGCATAGTTTCAAAATATTTAGCTACACAGAAGATGAGAAATTAATTTTTAACGAATCTACATTATACTGAGAAATCAGAATATCAATGTGGTAGGGGATGCTCGCAAGTTTTTATTATAATTGTAGTAAAATCAGATTATATACTATAAGGGATGTGTGAGTGTGTGTGTTGTTTGTTTGTTTGTTTGTTTTTTCATTGTTGCTTCTCAGACATGCTTTTGGCAAACAAAAAATGCTGTTATGCATGATTCTTATCGACTTGGTTGTCTCCTGGATGTTTTGTGGTGAAGACATTGCTGTGACAGGGGATGAAGACATAACTAGGTGAAAAGTTGAGAATCTCTTAATTATAACAAAAGTGGTTTTAATAACAAAAAAATTAAATAACCTGGACTAGCTTGGAAGTAGAAAATGATATCTAACTTTTTTCAGGGGACAGAAAAGAAGCTAATTTTCTTGTATGAAAGGACATTAGTTGATTCATTCTGCCTCTGTCTGCATGTAGGTAATTTGTGTATGGTCCATTGGTTTTAAAGATCCCAACAAACCTGACAAGTTAACTATGAGGGTGCTAGTAAAAAAAAGGAAAGAATTAGAGTAATTGAATGCAATGCTCTTCATGGTGGTCTGAGGATCACCTGAAACATTCCTATCCATGCTTGCCTGTTAAGTCATTTAAGTCATGCCCGACTCTTTGCAACCCTATAGACTGTAGCCTGCCAGACTCCTCTGTCTGTGGGATTCTCCAGGCAAGAATAGTAGAGTGGGTTTCCATTTTTCCTCCAGGGGATCTTCCTGACTCAGATATCGAACCCACATCTTCTATGCCTCCTGCACCGGCAGGCAGGTTCTTTACCTCTAGTGCCATCTGGGAAGCCCATTCCTACCTAAGACCCTTTATTAAAGATGCAAAATCTCGTCCTCAACGCAGAGCTACAGAATGAGTAATTTTCTAGGTTAGGATCCATCAAATGTTCACTCCTTGATTCTTGTGCATTCTATTCTTCTTTGAGATTTGATGACGAGCTTTGGTCCTTCCTTATCCAGAGGGTGCTTCTTAGATTTGAATGGTAATTACTACATCAATGACTTTACATAATATGACCATAATTTAATCTTGCAATAAAATTCTATGGAGAAAAAATATTGCTTGTTCACTTGGTTCAAGAAAAAGCAATACTAACAGCTATCAAATCTTATTTTGGATGTCAGGCACTGCCTAATGAGTTTATCTGTATTAACTAAATTCACCTTCAAAACTACTGTGATCAACTCCCTATTTCTCAAATGAGGAAACTGAGGCACTGGAATAGTAAGAAACTTGCTCAAGGTTGTTAAAAAAGCAAGTGTCAGAGATATGCTTTAAATGGAGGTACTCATTTTCTATACTGTAACCCTAAGTACCACACTGTGGTATAAAGTGAGTGCTAGTCAGTCAGTCATGTCCAGCTCGTTGCAACCACATGGACTGTACCCTGCCAGGCTCCTCTGTCCATAGAATTCTCCAGGCAAGAATATTGGAGTGCACTGCCATTCCCTTCTCCAGGGGATCTTCCCTACCCAGGGATCAAATCCAGGTCTTCAGCATTGCAGGCATATTCTTTTCCATCTGAGCCACCAGGGGAGCCCACAGTATGATATATGAAAAAGTGGGTATAGTACTTATACTGAAGATCTAGGAATGCAGTTTCTAGGGTTTATCTGGTCACAAAACTCTCCAAGTCTCAAATGTAAGCTGTGGTTCTTCTGCCCAGAGAAATACACAGATGCAAAGACAAGCCTAGTTTGTCTGCGACTTCAAGAGGCTCACTCCCTTGGAGCCCATCCACAGACCAGGTTCACTGATTGAAGCTTATACCTGGGTGTCTTTAGGAGCAAAGTACCTGTTTTAGTACAGGCTTTATTACACATAAAAGTTTCCTCACATCTTTCTTTCTGAATTTCAGATTTGGAGTTTTATTTACCTATTGGAATGAATAGGACTTCTTGAAGTTGCAGGCAAACTAGGCTTGCCTTTGCATATGTGCACTTCTCTGGGCAGAACCACAACTTGCATTTGAGACTTGGAGGGATCTGTGACCAGATAAATCCTATAAACTACATTCTTAGACCCTTAGTATAAGTACTATACTTATTTTTTCATATACCATAGTTTGGGCTTCCCCAGTGGCTCAGATGGTAAAGAATCTGCCTGCAATGCTGGAGACTTGGGTTTGATCCCTGGGTTAGGAAGATCCCTGGAGGGGGGAAATGGCAACCCACTCCAATATCCTAGCCTGGAGAATTCCATGGACAGAGGAACTTGGTGGGCTATAGTCCATGGGGTCACAAAGAGTCAGACATGACTAAGTGACTAACTCTCACTTTCATTCATTCCAAACTGATACAGTAACATAGTTCAGAGAATTTATAAAATTCCTAAAAATATTCTCTCTATAGAGTGGAAAGAATTAACTAGATGTAAAATAGAGACAAGGGCATATTTCTTTTCCAAAGTCAGAAAACTGAAGGCAGTCTAGACCTACCCTGCTGCTCAGGCCTGTCTAAGTTCTGCCGCTCTTGCCTTCCGTCTCCATCACTCTCACTGGCATTACCACTG